GCGCTGCCTCAGCCGGTACGGAACATGGCGCGCGGCCACACCAGGGTCCGCCATCATCTCTATATCCAAGCGTGCTCTTATCCAGCTGAAGCGGCGCCTCCGCCGAAGCATACTTCGCCACAAAGCTCTGCGCCTGTATCAACCTCGCGATCTCCGCCCGCCCTGTAAGATCAATTTGCGCCGCCCTGTGGGCCGATCGAGGAGGAGGAGGAGGAGAAGGAGGAGGAGGAGGAGGAGGAGGGGGAGATCGAGAAGAAGGAGGATCGAGGCTTATCGCGAAAGATCTGTTTCAGCTTCGCCGCCGTCGTGCCCAACTCCGCGATCTCCCTTCGGGGTGCGCCTACTGGCTGATGCACACTAACAGCAGGCCCGGCCACGCAGGCCGCACCACAAAAAGCCTGCTGAGCGTGCCCCACGGCGCGAACATGGCACGCCGCATGGACCGCGGAGATGCTAGGCTCAGGGCAGTGAGCATAGCTTCCTCGAGCCAAGAAGCACCCCCCCTCGGCTGTAGACTGAATGTCAGACTATCTCAAACCGATCTTGCCAACGATGCAGGAAAAAGCAGAGCAGAGAAAAACAAGGAGGGAATTTCATCTCGAGGCGATCCTTCCGAACCATGAAAGTCCCTGCATCGCGAAGTTCTGTCCATGCCAGATCGATCGGGTACTAACCCATCTCGTGTAACCTCACGCACGTCCTAGGTCCTAGGTCCGATGCCGCTGAACCGTCTTCACCGTGAAAGTATCATAGGCCCGACACGACGCGAACGGCCTTTCAAATATGATCAGTGACGGGGAGAATGCGAAGGAGAACGGGCACTGAATGTGCTTGAGTGAGGAGGATTCGCAGACGTAGACATATGCGAGTGAACAAGAACGAGTGGATGCGGAGGGAATGCACAGCCCGCTCACAAAGAGCAGGCCTTTCTAAGCGCCGGACTCGTCGTTATTCCAGCGCACCTCCCACACAGGATCGGTGTGCTTGTTGGTGCGCACGGTGCTCTGGTACAGCCGATTTGTATGGAATCTGCAAGTCGGCGGTGGCGGAGAGTCTAAAGAGGAAATCTGCTCTGCGGAGCCTTCCCCCTCTTCTCTCTCTCTCTCTCTCTTTCTCTCCGTCCCCATCCTCCCCTGCTACTCCAATTCGTTCTCCTCCATCTTCCCCTCGTAGAAGCAACTCACGGAAGCTACTGGTCGTCCACGTGGCGTCCAATGTGCCCACAGGGCGCCCAATCACGCGCAAGGCGGACAGAATGCATCTCCCTCACATGGCGTGAATAAGCGCTACTGGTCGCTCGTGGGCGCTATTTGAACGCTATTCGGCGCGACGGGGCGCTCTTCGGTGCTACTCAGCACTATTGGGCGCTACTCGCCGATGCACGATATACCTTCAATGCAAGACGAGGGGCACCTTTCGTGATGTCTTATTACGCACTGGGGCCTCGGAGATCGGCGCGGCTGCCAGCTCCACAGCCTGGGCGACGCGGTCGCCGCCACGCGGCTGCTGGGCGCTCCGGCGACAAATCTGAGGACTGCGGAGGACGTCCTGACGACGGGCAGCGGGGCCCAGCACGGCCACCCCCAGCGCAGGCGCGGGGCAGTTGTGGGGAGACTGAGAGGTGCCGGTGCCACTGCTCCCCTGACCTCTCCCGGGATGCATTCTGACCAGCATTTCGAGACGAATCCAGCCGTTGCGACGAGGGCGCCTCAGGAGGCCCAGATCGGCGAAGACGAGGCCGAAGGGAGCGGTATCGGTTTCTCTCTGCTGCTCTGACGCTTGCCCTGGCGCCAGCTGGGCGCGCTCGAGGCAGCGGACCTCGAGGGCTTCAGGCCAGCGCCCTCTTTGAGGCGCTGAGCTCGCGCCGCAGACGCAGGCGAAAATGAGCTGGGCAGCGGCACAGACGCCGTCCGGGTCCGCTGCCTCGAGCGCGCCCATCGGGCGCCAGGGCAAGCGTCAGAGCAGCAGAAAGGCACTGATACCGCTCCCTTCGGCCTCGTCTTCGCCGATCTGAGCGGGCCTCCTGAGGCGCCCTCTTTGAGGCGCTGCTCGAGCCGCAGACGCCAGCGAAACTTGGGGAAACCGAAAAGGTACCGATACCGCTACTCCCCGGACCTCTCCTGGGGTGCGTTCTGACCAGGATTTCGAGGCGAATCCAGCGGAGGCGACGACGGGGGCCTAGGAGGCCCAAAAAGAGTAAAACGAGGAGAGGGTAGAGGTATGGCTACCTTCTCCTCCTCTGAGAAAATAAGCTGGGCAGCGGCAGAAGCTGAGGCCCCAGGTGGCGCAGCGGGCAGGGCGCAGCGCAGAGCGCAGAGGCCCAGAGCGCAGCTGCAGCCGAGCGCAAGGACTCGAGGCAGGGGCCGACGCAGGCGCCCAGCGCATCGCCGAGGCCCAAAGCCTGACAGCGGCCGAGCAGGCGTCGGCCGAGGCTGCAGCCCAGCCGCAGCACGGTCAATCCGTATCGTTTATAATGATGCGCGGTAAGGGTGCCAGGGCCTTGGAGGGCCATGCTGACATTTTTCGACCGAGGCTGGCCAGCGAAAGTCGTTAACGATAAGGCCGAAGAGGCAAGGCTGCAAGGGTAACCTTGGAACGCTGCTCATCGTTACTATTCGGATTGACTGTAAGAGTGGGAGGTGGAGCAGCACTCCGAGGATATTGACTTGAACTTCAACACCGACTGGGAGGCCGAAGTGCCCAGAGAGCCCGAAAACGGCGGACAAGCTCAGGACCTGTTTCCTTCAAGGCGAGTGTGATAGCCACACTCATTGTGAATGCGCTGCCGAACGTACTCGACATCCCTGTTGCGCGACTTTGCGCCGTTGTCGCAGGCAAACCGAAGAGCGTGGTGTGGCTTGCAGCAGAGTCGCTCCCCGTCTCCTCCTCCTCTTCCTCCTCATCCTCCTGCTACTCCGCCTCCTCCCCTCCTGCTGCTGTGCATTCTCGTGCTTCGCCTCTCCACTCCATCCTTCTCTCACCCACTTCCCATTTCTGTCTTCTCTTCAACATTCTCGACCTCCTCCTCCGTCCGCGTATCCGTCTCCGTCTCCTCCTCCGCCTCCTCCTCCTCCTCCTCCTCCTCCTCCTCGTCGTCGTCCTCCTCCTCCTCCCACTCCCCCTCCCCTAAACCCTCCCCTCAGCCCTCCTCCGCATTCCGCTCATGCACATCCTCATCCCCACCCACATCCACATCTCCTACTACTCCTCCTCCTCCTCCCTGTCCTCAATCCCCTGTCTCTCTTATCCACAGATTGAATCGTTAGGTATTGCTCGTGGTAGCAGTTCCGGCGAGTGCAAGAAATGCGCGACGTTTGACTGCGCGAACGAGCGTCGTCATTGACACCTGGAGCTGGTGCTGCCGATGCTGGTCCCCCCCTCCCCTCCTGCTCCTCCTCGCTACTACAGCGGGCCACCGAACCCCCGAAGCACTCTGTCTCTCGATCATTACCCCGCCACTGCTGCTGCTTGGCACTCCCTCCTCCCCCTCCTCCTCCTCCTTCTCCTCCTCCTCCTCCTCCTCCTCCTCCTCCTCCTCCTCCTCCTCCTCCTCCGTCGGTAATGTCGCATCCCCGCGCATACCATGCTTATCCCACGGTGGCGTCGGTATGGTTCCATGTTGTGTGATAGATTGTGCAGCTACCCTTTTCCCAACAATTGCTGAACCCCCGAACCCGAACTCGGCGCGTCTTCACATGTGCTCACTGCTGCTCCTCCTCCTCTTCCTCCTCCTCTTCACCACCTGCCCCTCCCTCTCCTACCTATGGTAGGGGTGGTGGAAAATCCACTCTTCAGAGGACCGAAGAAACGCAACTCGCGAATCGACTGGACAGAGTGGCGATCCTGCCCACCTCCGATCGAACCGCTGTACTAGGGGGGGACAGAATTAAAGGTGCCGATACCGCTGCTCCCCCGGAGTCTGCCGCTGCTCTCAGGTCCGGCATGTCCTCCTACAGACGGCTTTCGGAAGAAAAGCGACAAATAATTACAATTATTCAAACATTGTCAAACATAGTCGAAACGTCGTTCCCAGACCAATTGTTTGAGCTATTCTTGAAAATTCCTCGTGTAGAGAGACATGCTCGACTTGACGCTACTCTCCCCGGGCATTCGGACCACACTTCCGAGGGGAAGGCGGCCATTGCGTCAAGAACTAAAATGTGTACATTGGTGGCGAGCGAAGGGGGGAAGTGAGGATCGGGGAGACGTAAGACTCGGGTTCGGGGAACTCGTGTTGGCCTGACGGGGCCATCATAAAAATGACGAGACCCAATCTGAAATTTGAAGCGAACTCCTGCTGCAGACTGAACCGTCAAAAGCCAGGACGCTCAGAAAGCGGCAAACCCGGGTTCTGGCGTACTCGATCTTACGTTCCCACGAGAAAAAGAGATCGCCTTCTCAACAGGAGGCGAAACTTCTCAGAAGCGGCCCGCCTTCTGAGAAATTTTATCTTGGTCTTCGAGGAAGGCTCAGGAAACTTCTCAGAAGGCCAGGAGACTTCCGAGCCTTCTGACAAGGCCCGCCCCTTCTCAGTTCCCCCCCCTCTTGGCGCCGAGTACACGTTCCTCCTCTGATGTGCATATGACATAACTCTTGGGGGGAAGAACAAACCATGGTCGCTCGCCTGGTAGATCGGCTTCTTCGTGCGGGCCCGAACGTCGTACACCAGCACGGTGCCGTCGTAGAGGCCCACGGCCAACACCGCGGGGTGCGTGGGGTGCCAGTCCAAACAGCAAACCCCCGCGTCCGTGTTGAAGACATACTCTGGGAACCTGTCGGCGACTCCGAAGGGTGTGGTTTGAAAAGGGTGTGGTTTGCAACCCGCGCCTGGGGAGGCGGGCGAGGACCTCGATAGAGTTCTCCGCCGCGCACCGGGGCGGCCCGACGAGGGCAATGTGGTGCCACCCAAGCCCCAGCGTCGCAGATCGCAAACCGCACCCCGGCGTAACCAGACCCGTTGTAGTCGCCGAGCCTGGTGTTCTTCAGCGAGTAGCAGCAGATTACGCCTGCGCTTGCTGGGCGGATCTGGCCCATACCCCCTCGCGTCGTGAACAAAAGTCAGATAAAATATGATTCCTGTTGTTCTCTGCCTCTGGGGGCCCTCGCTGGGTCCCGGGAGCGTCAAACAACTACCCAGCCCCGAACACTGGGTCGACACTATGGGGAGGTTCCACGCTGTGGCGAACAATCACGCCGTCACGGGTCCGGGGAGCTGGGAGAGCCGAGCAAGCCTGCACGATCGCTGGACATGTATCACTCCTCCCGGACCTCCCTGCTGCAAACCAACAGATACCGATACGGCTACTCCTCCCCTGACCTTTCCCTGGGTGCCTCTGACCAGCATTTCGAAGCGAGTCCAGCGGTGGCGACGAGGGCCTCGCTAGAGGCCCAGAAAACTAACAACAACGAGGCACGGGTGGCAGGATCGATACGTGGGGCGGCTGGAGGCGAATCTTACTGACGAGTAAGTGGATGGGACAATAATCGATATGGCGCTGCATCTGCCGCTGCCGCTGCTGCGGAGCTGTGGGTTGTGCTCCTGCTGCTGCCGCTGCCACCGTTGCAGGACGTTTAGAAAAAAGAACAAACGCCATAAACATAAACTGTTGACGCTCCGCGCGGATTTCTTGGATCTGCGCTGGACCCCCCTCCTTGGCGCGCAGAGCGCGCCAGGGGCGGCGCCAGAGGCGCCGCCAGGGGGGCCCAGGCGCCAACCCAAAAAATCCGCGCGGAGCGCCAAGAGTTTATGTTTATGGCGTGTTGTGTTTCTTCGAATGTTGCGGGCCTGACAAGCTACTTCGGGGGGAGGGGCTGCTTTCAAGGGAGACCTGGCCTAGGTGTCCCCTGGGCTCTATAAGGAACCCTCGAGGGTCTGCAGCCTCCTGGACACAATCCTTCAAGAACGCCCCCAGCGTAGGGCGGAAAGATCCGCCCGACTTGCGACTTGACCCAAATTACGGCGGATCCGACGTCCAGTCCCCGGGCGCCCGCCCTCCCGCCCACCGCCCTCTCACCGCGGCCTGTGCCCTGGCGCAGGAACTCGTACGAGCCGAAGCCCGCGGCGCAGAGGTCGTTGTAGCGCGGGTTCCACCTGATGCACGTGACCTGGGCGGGGGGGGGCACATAGATTTCTGCCAGGGGCCAGCGACGAAAGAGAAGTACAGCAGCCTCACGCGGCCAGAAGTCTTGCTCTAGGAGTTGGCGGCGCGCACAAGGGGGTAGGGTGAGGGGGGAAGGCTTCTTAGAAAGGGGCCGGCGTTACATCTACAGACAAGGCCCGCGAGGCCCCAGGAGGTTCCAGGAGACCCCCAGGAGGCTCCGAGGCGGGGTCTGGGGTACCAGAAGGTACAGAAAGCCCCAGGAGGCCCCAGGGGGTTCCAGGAGGCTCCGAGGCGGGGTCTGGGGTACCAGAAGGTACATCGGGGCTCGATTTTGGGAGGATGTCTCAGGCGAAATCGCCATTCTCTGAGAATCGGGGTCAAATTCATTGAAATTACAATGGGTTTTTGAAGGTTTTATGTTAGAATGTTGAAATTCCCATGTGTTATTGGACCCTGACGTCACGATCTGCGTGAACGGTGCCACCGATTTTCAGAATTTCGAAGATGTCCCTAGCGAAACGGCCAGAACAATCGCGAACGCGGCGCCCCGCGTACGCATTAATCGCCTCTGAGCTCTACTCCCTCGGAGAGGTGCGTATGAGAATGTTTCGAGTATCTTCTATTTGTCGTCCAAAGTCCGCCTGTAGGGGGACACGCCCGACCTGATGCAAGCTCGAGGGGGCTGCTGTGGCACGCAGGGGGGCACGCGGAGGCGGGGACGGGGGGGAGGTGGGCGTGAGCCCGCGTGAGACGCGGGCTGTCGCGAAGGATTGCGTTCGCCTGCGTCGGCCCCTCATCGACTACACGCTAGAATGACCCTGGGCAAAACTGACCTTTGGTGCGCGGCTTTTTGGGGACCGCGGGGGGGCCAAACATAAGGGCGCAAGACGCTACTATCGCATCGCGTTCGGCGGGCGATCGGGGGAAGCCAGTGGGCCCGCACCAAAGGTCACTCCGGCGAGAGGTCACTCTGACGTCTAGTCGACCTCAGCCACGAGCCCCTGCAAATGGCGCGCGGGCCTGTTTCTTCTTCGCCTTCTCCGACGAGAAGCGCCACAACGGCAGTAAGGATCCCTCGCCATCCCGGAACTCGTCGCTGCGGTCCTGAAGGAAGAGATGGGAGGGGCAGGGATGAAGTATGGGGAGGAAGATGGGACACGACAGTGTAACATGAAAACAAGAAACAACGTAATTATGAGCAGTGAAGATCATGGCGCGGAGCCTGATGAACAGTGAGGAAGAGGAATGATGGGGGAGACGATGAGATTGAGCCCAATGCGCAGTGCCCGAGAAGGTGGCAGTGGTGGCGAAGTGGCGCAAGTATGTTTGGGGGAGGGGGGCTGGAGCGGAGGGGGAATAGCAACGGGGGGGGAGAGGAGGACGACGGGGAGGGCGAGGGGAAGAGAGGACGACGCAGGAAGGGGAGGATAAAGAGGTGTGCGCGAGGTGATGAAATGGGGGAAGCCACCGAGGAGGCCCTGAGGAAGGTCCACAAGGCTTTACACGTGCTCCTCAGACGCCCCCTAGACCCTTCTGACGAGACCTCAAGAGGCATCATCAATTAGAACTAAAGCCGAAACGCGGTGGCGGGAAGAGCTGGAGGCCACACCACCACCACCATCACCACCACCACCACCATCACCACCACAACCACCACAACCCACCAGCACCACAACCACTACCGTCACCACAAACCACAACACCACCACCACCACCACCACCACCACCAAAAAAAACGCCACCACCACCAGCAACACCGCAAGCCAGCACAACCCACCACAACCTCCACCAACACCACCCTCACAAACCACCACACCATTACCACCACCGTCACCACCACCGCCACAAGCACTACCATCATCACAACCCACCACTACCACCACAAACCACCACACCACCAGCACAACCACCACCACAACTACCAACCACCACCCACCACCCACCACCACCACCAGCGCCGCTACCAGCAGCAGCGCCACCACAACCACCACAGCCCACCGCCACAGCCCACCACCACAAACCACCACGCCACCACCACCACCGCCACCACCACTACCACCACCACCACTACCACCTCAACCCACCACCACCACCAACCCACCACACAACCACCACCACCACAGCCACCACCACCACCACTACCACCACCATCACAACAACAACAACAACAACAACAAGAAGAACAACAACAACCCACCACCACTACCACCACCACCACAATTTACCACACCACCAGCACCACCGCCACAACCACAACCACTATCAGCAGCACAACCCACCACCACCACCACCACCACCACAAACCACCACCACCACCAAAGACCACCGCCACCACCACCACCACCAGCAACACCTCCCCAAACCACCGCCACGGCCACCACCGCCACGGCCACCACCACAACAAACCACCACACCACAACCACCAAGACCACCGCCACCACAAGCCACCACCACCGCCACAACCCACCACCACCAAAAGCCACCACTACCACCACTAAACCACCACCACTAAACCACCACCACCACCACCACCCACCACCACTACCACCACCACAACAAACGACCACACCACCATCACCACCACCATCACAAACCAACACCACCACAACCCGCCACCACCACCACCACAAACCACCACACCACCACCACCACCGCCACCACAGCACCACCACCACCACAACCACCACCATCACTTCAACAAACCACCGCCACCACCACCACCACAAACCACAGCCACCACCACCACAACCCACCACCACCACCACAACCACTACCACCACCACAACCACCACGACAAACCGCCAAACCACCGTCGCCGCCAACACCACCACCTCAACCCACCACCAGCACACCGCCATCACCAACACCATCACCAGGCACCACAACCACCACAACAACAACCACCACCACCACTAACCACACCACCACCACCGCCACAACCACCACCACCACCACTACCACCACCACCACAGCCCAGCACCACCACCACCTCAGCGAGGCCCCATGACACGCCCAAGATGCGCCAAGGAGACTCCACAAATGCCCTTCAGAGGCCCCCGAGAGTCCTCCGACGAGTCCCCAAGAGGCATCCATTAGGACTCGCACCCAAAACCAAGACACGGTGGCGGAGCGTCGTCGTCGTCCTCATCGTCGTCGCCGTCGTCCTCGTCGACGCTCCCCACTGCCGCCGCCCGCCGCCGCAGGCGACGGCGCCAGCCCAGAAAAAGAAGTCGTAGTCCGCGCCACCGCCGCCAGCCGCCGCCGACGCAGGCGCTGGCCCGAGGAGAGGGAGAGAGGAGAAGTAGGGGAGTAAAGGAAAGGGATGGGGGGGGGATTCGAACCCCCCCACCCTCCGTCACGGGAGGGGGAGGGGGAGGGGGGGGGGGGTCCGGTTCCAACCCCCCCCCCTCCAAGCGACTAATTACAGAACGCGCTCTTTCACACCTCGAGATCCTTGATCCTCCACTAAAGTTTCAAAATAAAGAAGAGGACGCCATAAACATAAACTTTTGGCGCTCCGCGCGGATTGCTTGGATCTGTGCTGGACCCCCCTCCCTAGCGCGCGGAGCGCGCCAGGGGCGGCGCCGGAGGCGCCGCCGGGGGGTGCCCAGCCTGGATCCAAGAAATCCGCGCGGAACGCAAAAAGTTGATGTTTATGACGTTTTTCCTTCTTCGACCGAAGGTGGAAAAAGCTCCTCCCAGTACTTGAAGTCGCGGTACACCTCGTTCTCCGCGTTCTGGTTGACCATGCGCTCCATGATCTTGATGGAGAGCTGGCGGCATGTTCTTTTAGTGCCAGCGGGTCGGCTCGAGCCGCCGGACGTGGGGCGCACGACGCCCGGGCAAGCGATGGGGGCCAAGGCTAGGTTGGGTTGTCCTTCTACCGGCGGGTTTTCGAAGAAAAACAGGGAACAATATCAAACATGTGGAAATATGATCTAACAATAATCGGAAAGTCGTCCCCAGACTCTTGTTTGACACTGCTGGAATATTCCTCCTGTCGAGAGACATGCCCGACTGAAGGACACGGTCGGGCACTGCTGCTTTCAGCATGTCGCGGCGGCGGCGGCCCCCGCGGCGCGCTTTTCCTTGCAGGCGGATCGCGTGCCGCTCCGCACCGTGGGGGGCGGCGCGCCGGGAAAAGGCTCGGGACGTTGACGCCTTCGGGCCCAGGATGTGAGGATAGGGAGGGATTCGAAGGTGGAGTGACATTGTTTGGGGCACCTCGTGCCTGGGACCCGCTCCCTCAGTACCCCATCTCTGGGCCGCCGATGTATTGCTCTGTTTTTCCCACGCGGGCCCTCAACTTCACTGCGGGCCCCAATAATATACACCACCACCACCTCCCTTCCCCCTCTCCTCTCTACCATCCTCATCCTCTCTCCGTTCCTGAGGGGGGGAGGGGATGAGGGAGGTGGTGGTGGTGTCTAATGTTAGGCCCCGTATCCCCACCGCTTCCTGAAGAAGACTTGGACCGTTGTTTGACGGTCTGATGGCCCAGAAGCGGCATCCGGAGGCCGAGTGTGGCGACAAACCTCCCTTCTGCTGTATTCCTGCGCCCCTTTCCTTTCAGGCGCCTGGCACGGCTGGAGGTCCCCAGAGAGGGCCTCCGTTCGGGGCCGGCGCGCTCCGCTGCTGCTCGCTCGTGGCCCGATCTCGGACGACGCCAAAACTGTGCACCTGCACCGATCCTGGCCTGGCCTGGCCTGGCGTCGGCCGACGGCCGCGGAGCGAACTCGTGGGGTCTCCGGAGGTCCCCTGACGTCCCCGGAGGCCTGCGGAGGCCCCAGGACGGCCGAAACGTCCCCAGGCACCCAAGCACACGCGCGCAATTTCTGTCGTCGCGGCCACGCGCGGAGCAGTGCGGCGGAGTCAGAGTCAAGCAATGGGCTCACGCAGCGAGGGCATGCCGGGTCCGCCCATGGCGGGCCCGCGGCGTCCACAGGAGCCACCTGGGGAGGGGGTGCCTCAAATTCCAGGCCGCCCTGGGTCATCCCAGGATTCCCACAGGGTTGCCGCCGCATGGCCAGGAGGGGCCGAGAGGCCTCGCAGACGGCCTCGGGAGGCTGAGAAGGAGGTTCCAAGAGCCCAAGGCAGCCCAAGGTAGCCCCAAGACGTCCCAGTATGGCCCCAAGGCCGTCAAACAGGACCCCAAGGCGCCCCTAGAGGACCCAAAGAGAACTAAAAGCCATAGATTTCTCTTTGAACTGTTGTTTTCGACTCCCCGCCCTTTTCAAGCTTCAGGAAGCCCAAGACGGCCAAATAGACCTCCAATACAAACTCATGATGGCCCAGGGTGCTCATAGAGCTCCAAGTAGACCCACAGATGCTGGAATAGGCTGCCGAAAAAGTCTTGGGAGGGCCCAAAAAGGGGACCCAAGCGAGCTACACGAGAGTCCGCAAAGACCCTCAGGACGGCTAGCAAGGGCCCAGGACAGCCCAAGATATCCCAGGACGGCCCAAGAGACCACCACGACAGTCCAAGATGACCCCAAGAGCCCCCCAGGAGATCCCAACAAGGTCCCGAAGAAAACCCCGTAGCACCCCGAGACACCCCACAGGCTCCCTTCAAACCCAACACACACACACATACACACACACACACACACACTCTCACACACACACACACACACACGTCCAGCGCACATGCTCTCTGCAAATCCCCGATATTGTGGGGACAGAAAGCACCGATACGGTCCTCCTCAGGCCTCGCGAGAGTACCGAGAAGTACCGAATTCCGATGAGAATCCAGCCGTGGCGACGAAGGCTCTCCAGGACGAGCAGCGGCATGGGTACCTTCTCCCCCTGAGAGAAGATTCACAAGCCCGACCCTGCTCCCACAGCCAGCAACATCCCCGCCCAACCCACAAGGTTTCCGAGATGCTCCGCTGCCACGTCGACTTGCTCACCCAAACTCACCAGCACGTGCTCCATCCGCCTCGGCCCCCTCCCCCTCCCCCGCCCTCCTCCTCCTTCTCCTTCTCCTCCTCCTTCTCCTCCTCCTCCTCCTCCTCGTCGCCGCGCTCCTGCTCTTGAACCTGCTGTCCCTCCTCGTTCTCTCCTCCTCGTTGCTCCATTGTCACTCCTCTTCGTACTCCTTCTCTTCCTACTGCTGTTCCTCATCCTTCTCTGCCTTTCCCTTCTAACGCATGTCCTGCTCCTCCTCCTCTCCTCTTGTTGCAACTCCTCCTCCTTCTCCTTCCTCCTCCTCCTCCTCCGCCTCCTCCTCCACCTCCTCCGCCCGGATGTCCCCGGATGTTCTGGGAGAGGGCTGCGAGAACATTGCGCTGTCGTTCTCCACCGCACTTGCATGAATCGTGACCTAAAAGGAGCTCCACCTGCGGCCCCAGAGAAAAGGTTCGCATTCGCATAGTGTCTTCACGCCCAGTTCGACACGCGCCAGAAAGAGCTCCACCGACGGCTCCAACAGGAGAGGTCCCACGGCGCTCCTCCGCAAGTTTCGGCACACCCCTGACGCGGATCGTACCCCGCAAAGATCTCCCTCCATCAATGACACCCATGGTCAATTTCACCTGGCGTCCCCACGCCCGTTTCGGCGCCGCTACACGCGGATCGTGCTCCACAAGGAGCTCAACCTACGGCCTCAGTGGGCGCGCTCGCGCGGCGGCCACCCCCTTCATGCGGATCGCGCCCCACATGCAGCTCAGCGTCCCTACGCGCGCTATCTCCGCAACGACCCCCTTATCTGGTCGACCTCGCGGCGCGCAGTATTTGCAGAGCGAGCCGCGCCCTGCGCTACACGCAGCTGCATAGGGGTGGGCCTTTCGCCAGACCAAGTTCCTTGTGTTTCCTCTTACAGGCGCACACACATGAACACAAACATACAAATGTGCATGCATAAATACCGGCGTGCGTAAAAAAAAACACACCCACACACATAGGCATACAAACAAAACCTGTGCCGATCAGGCGGCGCCCCAGGAACGGGCCCAGGGCGTGGACCAGAGACCTCTCGTAGATGTGTCTAACAGTTTCTTGGGATGTCCTCTCAGAGGCTCTCCGGAGGCCTGTTGGCGGTCTCCTGGGGGCTTCCTGGGTGGCGCCCTGGGGGCCCATGGAAGCCTCTTGGGAGCCCCTGCGGGCCTCTTGGAGCCTCTCGCTGGCGTCTGAGGGGCTTCTTGGAGCCTCTTGGGGGCTTTTGGGGGGCCTCTTGGGGGGCTCGGGGGTCCTCTTGGGGCGGGATGCTCTAAATTTGAAGTGGAGTTCCCCGTCTTGGGCTCCTCTCGGGGCTCGTTTGGGGCCCGTTTGGCTGTCTTGAGCGCCTCTTGGACCGTCTTGTGACCCTCCTGGGCCGTCTTGGGGCGATCTTGGGGGCCTCCTGAGGTCGTCAAAGACGGCACGAGGAGCAAAAACAGCGAATATGCACAACCATAATACGTGTTACATAGAAAGGGGGTAGGACGACTTTTGCTTGCCGGGGCCCTCTGGGAGGACCTCTCGGAGGGGTCTTCAAACGCCTTGGACGCCTCAGGGGCCGTTCGAGGCGCCTCGTGAGCCGTCTGATGCCCCTCGAGACCGTCTTGAGGAAGGTTCGCGACTGTCTTGGGGCGCCGTGGCGCTCGCCGGACCGCGGCGCGTTGCTGAGAGGACGCCGGCCATGCACCAACCCCGATACTGGCGAGGCCCATCCTGGGCCCAGAATCGGTGCATACGCCCTCCTGGCTTGGCCAAAGAGGCATACACGTGGGAGAAATCTCTCCTGAGCGCTTCTGGGACCTCCAATCGACGGGCCTGGCCACCGGGCCCCCGATTTGACGTAGTGATCGTGGCCCCCGGGCCCATGGGCAAGGTCCCAAGCTATGTGTGTATACAGATGCATAGCGAGGGAGGTAAGGACAGAGGAAGGAAAAGAGAGATCCCAGCGACGATGAAAAGGAGGAGGGCGAGCGATCGAGCGATGCATGGGCAGCTGACGTCTCCTTTCCACTGGGGCATTTCCTCGTATGTCGTTGGGGCCATCTGAAGACAGGCGCTGAGCGCAGGATGCAAACTCGTGAGCCCCTGATCGTCGACGAGGCGGTCGTCCCCGCATGTCGGGTGAGGACGGGTGGGCGGGGCGAAAAGACGTAGAAATGAAAGTTGGATCCCGCGCAAAATTGCGCAATCGCCCACCCCCCCAACGGGCTCCCGTGGCTCGGCAGGAGAGCGCGGCACACAGTCACACAGATTCACCATCCACATCCGCACATCGTCTGCAACTCATGCCAGCGGCGCGCCCGAGGTTCAGACAGGATATTGGGGGTCACACGCGGACGGGAGAACAATCTAGCTTGCCACACCGAGATGCTGAAGTGATGCATGCTGGCTTAGCTCGATGCCCAGAAACGCTAACCTGCGCCAGACCCGCCGTCCCCGTCGGCGTGACTGACCGACTGACAAGCCATCCACCAAGCGGTGCGTGGGCATGAACGCTGGCTCATAGAAGACCCCAGGACTAGGCTGCGCGCTGAACCACTGAACCCGTCTCCCAGTGAGAGCTGCACTTGCGCGCTGGGGTTACACACGGGCGTCACGAGCGAAAACAGCGCGGCGAAGTGACCGTTTCCAGGGACGCCAGGGCCGACTTGGCACGGCCCAGTGGCCCTCCTTTGGCACGGCCCGGCGGCCCTGGTACCTTGGACCATCGATGCTTACCGTGCACACCCTCCTGCCGATGCCTAGGCATCACCAGGTCGATGCCCAGGCATCGGCTACGCCCGGCTACGTCCAGCTACGTCCATGGACGCATCCCTCGATGCATGCGTAGGCATACCCGTGCAAATGCCTAGGCATGCTACGATGATGCGTAGGCATCTAGGCTGGGGGGTTCAAGGTGACGGCTGGTAACAGAGCGAGCGGGCCGATCCAAGCCCTCCTCCAGCGTCGCGCCATCGCAAGGGAGATGGAGCTATGCCGTGCCCGAATCGACAGGGAGCTCTGTCCCTCTGGCACGCTCCCCGCTGCGAGGGGGAGGGGGTTCTGGAGGGGGGGGGGCTTGGGGGGAGCCCGGAGGGCGGAATGCGATCTAGGGCAAGTTTGCCACATATGACTTGGAAGGCACCAAGGGGTCGCAGCTGCCTGCAAGACGACGGATGAGGTTCCCAGAAGCGCCACGCCAGGATGCACACGAGGAGCCCCAGGACATGCCACACGAGGGCCGAAGAGAGTCCCCAGACTACAACAAGAGCAGCAAGCTTCCATTTGTTCAGCGATGTTGGCTCCTCATGCAACCATATTGGCACCCAAACTGTTCACGAGAACCCACGGAGAAGCTCAAGACGTTCCTCGAGACAGTGGCCAAGTGGGAGCGGTGGGGGAAGCGGGCTCTCCAGGATGTTGGGCCATATTTGGGCGATTGTGGAGCCATCTCGGTCACAGTGTGTCCATCTTGGTGCCAACTCCTGGAAAGTTGGCTCCCCTCTGGAACATCTGATGGCCAATGTGGGCCGACTAATCCTGAACGGTATTTAGACCCCCGCCTAATAAGAGGTAGCTATTTCTTCGGCGGCCTTATTGAAGGACTGGGGTCCCACCAATACGGGGGAATTAAGTATTGTTTTCCGCGGCGCCCTCCTCCTCCTCTTCCTCCTCATCCTCCTGTTCCTCTTCCTCCTCCTCCTCTCCTCCTCCTCCTCCTTCTTCTCCTCCTCCTCCCTCTTCCTCCTCCGCCTCCTCCTCCGCATCCTCCTGCTCGTGTCATTCTCAAGGGGCAGGAGGAGGAGGAGGAGGGAGGGAGGGAGGCAGGGAGGGAGGCAGGAGGAGGAGGAGGTTTCCGGACCAGTTCCATTCACCGAGAAAAGGGGGCGGGGACAAAAGCTAAAGACTTTTAGCGGTTAGACGGATCGACTTGCGCAGCCATTGCCTGCCTCCCTGGTGCCGCCCTGTTGCCCTTCTGCTGCAACTTTGCGAACATCCCCGTGTCAAGTATGTTGATGCTGCTGCGCAAAGGTTTCATGTGCTGTTTCTCCTGCGGAGCCTTCCTTCAACGCCACCTTATTTTGCATGACTGCCGGTCTCCCTTCAGGGTCGGCGAGACTGTAAGGGAACCCTCTGCAGTCAGATGCTTCGCTGGATAACCAATAAGAGCACCTAAACTGCTCAGGACCCCAGGCCGAACGCTGCCCCCCTCCACACATGGCCACGGACAACATGGTGCACGAGCTCCTGCGCACAACTCATGCGGTGAACTTCTGGCCACAGTCTTTAAGGCTCGTTCCATGTTCCACGAAGCAGTGGCCCGACCCGTCTGGACCTGCACGTCGACATACGCCTGCGATTCGCAAACATGATGTTCAATAAGAGGGCAGAACATCCACCCTCATAATAACCACCCCGACACGCGAAGCCGTTTGGCAAACGCAAACAAAGAGGAATCGCATGGCTGCTTGGTAAACGCCCAGCGCCGTGGTTTGTCCTCCCTTGATCAATAACACGCGAGTGCCCGCCCCTGCCAGACTCAATTCAAATGCACGGCGCATTTTGGAAGTCAAGAGGGGGCCTTCATGTTCTCGGAATACGTGGGGTCCGCATCGCTCTTCTTCTTCTTTTCGCCATCGTCATCGTAATTTTGCTTTGACTTCTTGTCCTCCTTATCCTTCTCCTTCGCAGCCTCGATCTCTCGGATATACTGGTCATAGATCTCCCATTGCGTGACGGTCGCCTGTAAGGGTCGCAAGACAGGTGCTGGCTGGGGGCGAGGATCACCATAAGGCGGAGTCTGGAAAACCTGAACCACAAACATGAGTCATCTCTTGGGAGGCCCACTTTTGCTTGTGCTGGCTTCGGCCCGCCTTCCGCCAACATCCGCCGGCGGAACCACCCTCGTTCTACTTCCGCCGCCTTCCGCCGACCTTCCGCGGCCTTCCGCCGAGGAAGAGATGACAACGCCTTCGATACTCGAAGGCGAGGTCCTTTCTGGAACTCGGCGGCGAGCGGGGGGGGGAGTGAGAAGGGGCCAGCCTTCTCAGAAGGCTCGGGAGTCCCTCGGCCTTCTGAGACGTTTTCTGAGCTTCCCCCAACGACGCTGCAGTCCTCTCAGAAGGCGCGAGGGGCTTCCGAGAAGCCTCGCCGCCTTCTGCGAGGGCCTTCTCCTTCTCACTTCCCCCCCCCCCCCGCTCGCCGCCGAGAGACGGCTACCGCCACGCCGCAACCCTGCCGTCCGCTGCTCTCGGGTCGGGCGAAAGGGGGGGATAGCAAAGGGGGGGTTTGAGAATCAGCTCACGTAGCTGATTTTCCAGGCGCCTCCCGGCGCCGGAGGCGGCTATGTATCGAGGAATGGGCCCCTCGGTGAGGCCGAAACCAGCTGCATGCAGCAAATTTCGTAACCCCCCCTTTCCCAATCCCCCCCTTTCGCCCGGCCCGACGCTCTGGCCCCCCTCTTCCGCCGAGGCAGAGGTGAAGACACCTTCGATACCCCGAAGGCGAGGCCCTCTCGGCGGCGCTCGGGCGCTCGGCCCGAGGACGGACGGCGCTCGGGCGTGCCGCCCTCCGAGGGTCGGCCCCTCCGGCGGGTTCTCGGTGGCGGTGGCCCCTGTTGTTCTTATGGCTCTGTGGGGCGTTCCAGAGAGGGCCTCGCCTTCGAGTCTCGACTAGAAAACAACGGCATGAGCATAAACTCTTGGCGTTCTGCGCGATCCGTGCTGGAGCACTGGCGCGCGGAGCGCGCCAAGGGCGGCGCCGGGGGGGTCCAAGCGCGGATCCAAGAAATCCGCGCGGACATCAAAAGATTAGGCGTGTGCCGTTTCCTCTTCTTCGAGAGGAAGTGATGACGACTTCTTCACCCAAGGGGTCGGGTGGAGTCCGCAGCGGCTGCGAGGACGGGAGCAGGAGAAAGGTGCCGCCTCGCCGCCATCCTGCAGTCTGCTGCTCGGGCCCTTCTCCTCCGATCCTAGCAAGGGACGTGTCGCCCCCAATCCCAGGCTTCGTGGTATTTTCGAATGGACCACCAAGTTTGGGTCCAATCCTGGATATACGATGGGGGGCGGCATCCATCCTGGGTAACGGTGCGTCCGAACAGCCTCCTTGGGGTGTCTCCAACATAATTTCCCTTTTTTCTTAGCGGCTAAACTTTTCGGGCGGAGCTCGGGGAGTGGGATAGAAAATCGTTTACGGGATCCCCCTTTCCTCTGCCTCGGTCAGTCGGTCGGCCGAGAGAGAGCAGAGTCAACCACAGAGCGGGAGGGCGGCCGGGAGCAGGGAAGTGTGGCGGACGCAGTGGTGTGATATCAGGACCGTGCAGGATGGAGACTGGGAGGCATGCCTTCGCGAGTTCCTTGTTTCCTCCAGCTCCTGCTGCTGCACCTCTCGCTGGCCCTCCTCCCTCCATTCCTCGCCCTTCTCCTTTACCTCTCCTCTGCCCCTCCGCACTTCTCCTCACTCAACCTCCTCCTCCTCCTCCTCCTCCTCCTCCTCCTCCAACCCGTCCTTCCTCTGAGCCCCCGGCGTCCTTGAACTCCGTCGTCGGCGGAGGCTCAGTACTCCAGCCACGCTCCCTGAGCATGGGGTTCTTCGTCTGAGCCGCACGCTCGCTGAAGTTGAACTGGTTGCGCAGAGGGTTCTTGACTGGCATCTCCTTCCACGCCGCGGAACCCATGTCTGTACAAGTAGCCCGGACAGAAGGGGAGGGCAAGGGGGGGGGGCTGGCTTGCACATTGCGCTCTCCCCGCCCTTGAAGTGCAATCGTCATCACCGTCATGGTCGATGTTGTCGTCCTCATCCTCGTCGTCGAGGCCCGTTACCTCCCCGAATCCGCTGGCTGTTGCCCCACCCAGCACACCTCATGGGCCACACGCTGCCAAGTGAGCGGAAGCTGAGTGATCGCGTCTGGTCGTGCGTGCCGACTGCGGCACCGTGCCTCCTGCACCGCCACCGTGCCTCCTGGCGCGTGGAGACGTGGAAAGATGCCACGGTCTGTCTGGTAACCCAGACCCCCGACGTCGTGATGTGTGTTCACGACGTCGACCCCCAGCGGTCTGGACCCCTTCCCTGGGACCGGTTGTTCATCCCGAGTCGTTTATTGACGGTCCCGAAGCCCGGTAAGGGCCCCCAGAGGCCCAAGCAACATAGCCACAAACCTTCCGTCGTGTTTTTTTCACAGCGCGAGGGGGCCTGGGAGGGTCTCTCTACTCCAAGAGAAGAACCCTCCCCCTCCACTTACAGACTCGCGCATGCATCCCCGCCTCCTTCCCCCCGGCTACGTGCCAGTGTGAAAGCTGGTGGGTCCCCGCTCCCGAGGCCACGCTCTCTCATTGGAAAAAACCAGGTGTGCACGCCCCGGGTTTTGTTCAAGACGGCCTATAGTATGCAGGCAGCCAGGGACACCACGATGACCCACGATGCCTCGAAGACGACCCCAGAATGCTCCACGGCCGCCGGATATGGCCTCAAGACAGCCCACGACGCCTCCTCCAAGAGGCTCACAGGATGGAACTCCAGGAGGGCCAGAAGAAGCCAACCCTATGGATCCCCGTTGAACTTTTATGATTCTCGCATTCTCGCATTTACCGGCTGTCGTCAACTCAAGGCGGCCCACGACGCTTGTATGACGGCTCCAGGACGGCCCAAGAGGGCCTCCCGTGGGATCCGAGACGGCCTTGAGCGCTTTGACGGCCCAAGAGAGCCCCAAGACGGCGTGAGAAGAGCCCCGAGACGGCATACGAAAGGCCCCAAGACGTCGCAGGAAGACGGCGTACGCAGAGGGCCCCATGGTGCGAAGACACGACTAACACGGCCAAAATGGCCGACGACGGCCCAAGAGAGACCTCCGACGGCCCAACAGAGCAACTAATACCTCCGAAGGAAGCCCCAAGACGGCCCCAATGGAACCCCAAGGCTGCCCCACAAAAGGCCTAGACAGCCACAAGACAGCAGGCTGGTGCGTGCATCGCCCCTAGCTCCTCCCGAAGCAAAGATCCCTTGCAAAAGCGGTGGATCCGCGTCCCAAGCTTCCACGACGGCCCAGGCAGGCAACCAAGGTCACCAAAATGGTCCAAGATGCCTCCAAGGCGGCCACCGATGGCCCAATATGGCATCAAAACTGCCCACGATGCCTGCAAGAGGGCCCAACAGGGCAGGATGGCACCAACTCGGCCCAAGAGGCCCCCAAAAGGGCCCCAAGCTGGCCCAAGAGGACCCCGCGATGAGCCAAGGGGCATCCAAGACGGCCCTAAGACAACGCCTTAGGCCCGACGACGGTCGAAGACGACGCCAAGATGGCCCCACGACAGACCCCAAGCACCCCACGCAGCCAGGAGGGTCCCAAAACGGCCCGAGACAGACCCAAGACGGCCTAAGAAGGCCCAAAGACGGCCCAAGATGGCCTCAAGACGGCCGCAGGGGACCCCCAAGACAGCCCCACAGGAGAACAAGAGTGCCCCCAAACGGGTCAAATGAACTGCATGAGAGTCCCTCAAGACGGAGGCACACGTGACGGCCTTCCTCGTCGTCCTGCTCCTCCTCCCCATCCTCATCCTCATCGTCGCCGCTGTCGGCGTCGCCGTCATAATCATGATGATCATCAACATCAGCAGCAGCATCATCATCAGCATCATCATCGTCATCATAATCATCATCAGCATCATCATCAGCAGTATCATCACAATCATCAACATCATCAACATCATCAAGATCATGACCATCATCATCATCATCATCATCATCATCATCATCATCATCATCGTCATCATCGTCATCAGCAGAATCATCAGCATCAGCATCAGCATCAGCATCAGCATCAGCATCAGCATCAACATCATCATCAACAACAACATCATCACCATCATCGTCATCATCATCATCATCATCATCATCATCATCATCATCATCGTCAGCATCAGCAACATCAGCATCCTCATCACCAGCATCGTCAGCATCAGCATAATCATCATCATCAACAACATCATAATACTAAGCATCACCAACAACATCAACTTCATCAACATCATCAACATCATCATCAGCATCATCATCACCGGCATCATCAGCGTCATCAACATCATCAGCATCGTCCTCGCTGTCGTAACCACCACATTCACAATCAGCATCATCAGCATCACCATCGTCAACATGACTATCGGCAATACCATCCCCATCACCGTTATCAGCATGAGCATCACCATCATCAGCCGCAGCATCAGCATCATCACCATCAGCATCATCACCATCAGCATCATCATCGCCACCAGCATCATCACCACTAGTATCATCATCGTCAGCATCATAACCATCATCGTCATCGTCGTCGTCGTCCTCATCCTCATCATCCTTACCAGCATCATCACCATCAGCAACAGCATTATCATCCTCATCCTCATTATCATCGTCGTCATCGTCATTGTTGTCATCATCGAGGCCCTCACAAGCCTGGGGACGCGAGGTGTCAAACATGACGGCCTTCCATGCCCCCTCGAAAAGTCGCCACCCAGAACGCTGGGCTGGTACGGTGGCGGGACTTGCGGAGGCACCTGGGTATGATTACTCACGCCTGTCCATCCTGCACGTATCACCACTCGTCGACAGCATCTTTTTGATTCTCCAGGACTCGGCGCCGCACGACTGTGGAGCAAGGAAGCCACAACACCCCTAAGAACATCTACAGAGTCCTGCTTGCCTCCAGGAAACAACATCCCCAAGTCCTCATGGTGCATTCCAGAAACTGTCTCTGGTGCTGATCATAATGGGGGACCGTGAATTCTCAGGAATACGGCGGATTCGCGTCAATCATGAAGTCGGTCCGTCGCGCAGGAAATGAATTGACCTGTCGCACGCCACGGGATCTGTTGAAAGCTTCGTTAAGCAACAAGATGCATGGTGCGGATTGTTTGTGCAACTCCAGCAATATTGCTATATCTCTCATTCTCTCTTTCTGTCACTCTCTCTCTCTCTCTCCTTTCGATCCCCCCTCTCTCTTGATCCCTGTCTCTATATACCTCTTCTTCTGCTTCTCTACAGCAACAACATGGACATGGGGCCTTGTGTGTAACGTGTGCGGAATGTCACGTGTGCGGGGCCCCAACTCGTAGGGCCCCTTCTGCGCTGGTCAGCGCGGCTGTGGCCTACGCAGATCGCACTCACACAAGCGGTCCGCTACCATCCTTAGCTTCTCGCGCGCTGACAGTAAATACACTTATTGCCGATACAGCAACGACGGCAAACAAGGGCAGACACTGCTATCGAACCTTGTCCTCATTAACCCCGTACCACTTCGACAGGACCGATGACGCGAGCCACCCCGCTCCTCGGGAAATATGGGCCAAGTCCGCTGCGTAACCAGATCGCGCCCCTTGCGAAACCTCGCAGGGCTGCCATTTCCTCGCCCCTCCTCCTCTCCTCCTCGGGCAGGGTCCAATACGTCGGCGGCTCCTCATCCTGAGCTTCCTCCGGACGGGTCGGATAGGCAAAGCCCACGCCTCCTCCCTCCTGCATGCTGAAGTCAAAACTTATTGCAAGGATGCGCGATGAGGATGCTTACCCCCTGGACGCCTGTGTCAAAGCGTTTTCGAGCGGGGCTGGCCGTTGAGTGGTCGAGGATCGACAGAAAAGGCAACGATACAAGTGGAGCTGTCCGGGGGGTCTGAGCTTCTTCAGACCCCAGAAACTCTGTTAGGAAGAGGGGATGAAGCAAAATCTGCTCAACATCAGTCTCCAGACCACTACCGGGATCCATCTGGTACATGGTTTCACCCCAGATCCGTTTCCCACGGTCCCGGGGTCCGAAAACGGCCCCCTGGGGACGAAGAAGGCAAAACACCTTCCCGAACCGAGAACCTCGAAACTGCCCGCCCTTCCTGCTGGCCACCTCAGACCTCCAGACGGCTCCAAGATGCAAGGGTGCCCTTGGGCAGGTCACCCATCCCCGTCATCGATCTCGACTGTATGCCACCCTTCCACGGCCTTCCTCAGCCCCCGCCACAGGGCGCGGGCGCAGATCGGGGACCTACAGACTACAGACCCGGATCAATCCAAACCCTGGCCAGTCGGGCTTGCAGGATCCTTCAAGATCATGCAAGATCCTGCGGGATCCTGCACCCAAGCCCGGGTCAATGCATCCCTGGCTTTGCAGGATCATGCAAGATCCGGCGCTCTGACTGACCCCCGTTTGCATTGGCCCCCGTCTCAAGGCCCCCGAGCGCAAGGTCCTTGGCGTCCTCCGGCGGGTCGAAATCCTCCTCCACGGCCTCCTCCTGAGGCCGGGGCGGAGGGGGGCGAGGAGCGGGAGCGAGGGAGGGCAGGGGAGCCAGGGCAACACCAGGGCAACAGGCGCGCCAGTGGCGCGGAGTAGGCGCAGCGGCAGCAAGGATCTCTGCACCACAAGGGTGTGGCAAGAACACGGGTGCGTGACTGCCTACCAAGACCACCCCAACCCGAAGACCCACATTTTGGGTGTGGGTGGGGGGTGTACGGCTTCCGTGTGTGTGTGTGTATTTGTGTGTGCGTGTGTATTTATCGTATCAATGTTCACGGTGGTTTGGTGGCCAGTTTGTTGGGCGGTGGGTGCGATCGGTCGCGACCGATTTTGAAGCACCGATCGGTCGCTACCGATCGCGACCGAACGAACATCGGTAAAATCGGTATCCTATGGCCTGGAAGGGGCGGGACGACACCTCGGCTGGCCTGGGTCACCGTGGCGGCCCCGTGAGGCCTGTGGGCATGCCTGCCTCACCACGCCACGAGCGGGGGGGCGCGCAGCAGCAGCGGCAGCAGGCGAGCGGGGCAGGGAGGAGGAGAGGCTGGGGCGGCAAGCCGGGCGCGCTCGCGCCATGTACGACCTATCCATCCTGGAAGGGGTAGGATTCCTACCCCTTCCAGCCCATCCCTGCCGATTCCGCTGGTTCTTCCTCTGGGGCAGAAATAAGCGAAGGAAAAACATACACATTAACTCTTGGCGCTCCGCGCGAATTTCTTGGATCCGCGTTAGACCCCCCTCCCTGGCGCGCGGAGCGCGCCAGGGGCGGCGCTGGAGGCGCGGCCAGGGGGGCCCAGCGCGGATCCAAGAAATCCGCGCGGGGCGCCAGCAGTTTATGTGTATGCAATGCTTTTCTCCTCGAAGACCAGGAGAGGCAGGAAGCGAGACGCAGGAGGCAAGAGAGCGTGGCTATGCATGTGGGTGTGGAAGAACAGAAAGAACGAATGCCACGCACCCCAACAGCATCGCGGGCCCATGGCCATCGGAGAGCGGCATTTGGGAGACCGTGTACAGTCGCACCTAAGACAGAAACGCATTCCTCAATGGCATGAGATCCTTCGTCGGCCCAGGATGAGAGCATCCAACAGAGAGAACACCAGGGAACCCTCTCCGAACCGACCTCGATCTTACACCTCGGTCCGACTGCACTGTCAGAGCCATGCAGCGCGGCTGCCAGTGACCTGTCAGGCCACCGTCCCGCCCCATCCCCACGACGGAACACTCACTGGGCTGTGGGTCATACTCTGAGAAGAGAGCAAACGCAATGCCCACAACAAACAGAACATCTGAGGGTTCTGCCATGGATACCCGTGTGCCGGTACTGGCAATACGCCTTAGAGATGCCGATGACGATACTTGCAACTAATGGAAACGGCGCGTTCACGTGAACGCACACGTTTGAACATGCCGCATGCATGAGGTTCAGCATGTCAATGCACGTTGCAGCACAATTTCAATCGCACCACGCTGGCTAAGTCCAGGGAACTCTGGGAGGGCCCACGACGGCCCGAGATGGCCCAGGAGGGCCCATGAGACCCCAAGGGATCCCGAAGAAAGCGGGTTTGCGTCTCATGCGACTTCACTCTGAACATACCAGGCCCAAGGCTACACATACATGTGCGTCATATCTCATACCGCAAGGCCCGACCAGCCGCATCGATACATCCAACGCAACATGAGGTAGAAGAGAAACATATACTGATGAGGATGAGCAGGAGAGGAAAGGAAACGCGGATTGAATGTAATCCACAAAGCGCGGTTGCAACATATACCGACGGCAAACTGATTGGGTCTCGCCCACGCAACGTGCACAGAGACCAGAACAAACCAGGCACTGTGTCTAACAAGGCGAAGCCCATGCAGCAACATGAACAGAGGAGGGACACGAGGAAGGGAACGACCATAACACAGACAGCACACGTGTCCCCAAGACGGACCAAGAGGGCCCCGAGACGGCCCAAAAGGATCCCAAGACGACCGAAGAGGCCGCGGGCTGGTCCACCAAGGGGTCGAACATCATATTAAGGACCCGCAGCGCTCATATGATGCGAACTTGGCGTGATGATGGTAATGATGATGAAAATGACGGTGGCGCTGATGATGCCATTGATGTCGGTGGGTCATGATGACGATGGTCATGATGTCGGTGGTCGTGATGACGGCGGTCATGACGACGATGGTCATGATGTCGGTGGTCATGGTGTCGCTGATTGCGCTCATGATGTCGGTGGTCATGATGGCGACTACGATGGTGGTGATGACGACGACTAATTTCCCCTGCTCGGGTCTAGTTTTTCCCTGGTCGGATCTAGTTTTCCTCTGGTCGGGTCTATTGTTCCCCTGGTCGGGTCTAGTTTTCCCCTGGTCGGATCTAGTTGTCCTCTGGTCGGGTCTAGTTTTCCCCTGGTCGGGTCTACTGTTTCCCCTGGTAGGGTCTATTGTTCCCTCTGGTCGGGCCTGGTTTTTCCCTGGTCGGATCTGGTTTTCCTCTGCTCGGGTCTAATTTTTCCCTGGTCGGATCTAGCGTTCCTCTGGTCCGGTTTATTTTTCCCCCGGTCGGGTATAGTTTTTCCCTGGTCGGATCTAGTTTTCCTCTGGTCGGGTCTAGTTTTCCCCTGGTCGGGTCTAGGTTTTCCCCTGTCCCTGTGGTCGGGCATAGTTTTTCCCTGGTCGGATCTAGCTTTCCTCTGGTCGGGTCTAGTTTTCCCCTGGTCGGGTCTAGTTTTTCCCCTGGTCGGGTCTAGTATTCCCTGTGGTCGGGCCTAGTTTTTTCCTGGTCGGACCTAGTTTTCCTCTGCTCGGGCCTAGTTTTTCCCTGGTCGGACCTAGTTTTCCTCTGGTCGGGTATATTTTTCCTCTGGTCGGGTCTAGTTTTTCCTCTGGTCGGGTCTAGTTTTTCCCCTGGTCGGGTCTAGTTTTCCCCCTGGTCGGGTCTAATTTTCCCCCTGGTCGGGTCTAGGTTTTCCCCTGGTCGGGTCTAGTTTTTCCCTGGTCGGACCCAGTTTTCCTTTGGTCGGGCCTAGTTTTCCTCTGGTCGGGCCTAGTTTTTCCCCCGGTCGGGTCTTGTTTTCCCTGTGGTCGGGCCTAATTTTTCCCTGGTCGGACCTAGTTTTCCTCTGGTCGGGTCTAGTTTTCCCCCGGTCGGGCCTAGTTTCCCCAGGTCGGGTCTGGTTTTCCCTGTGGTCGGGTCTAGTGTTTCCCTGGTCGGACCTAGTTATCCCCTGCTTGGGTCTAGTTTTTCCGTGGTCGGGTATATTTTTCCCCTGGTCGGGTCTAGTTTTTCCCTGGTCGGGCCTAGTTGTCCTCTGGTCGGGTCTAGTTTCCCCCTGGTCGGGTCTAGTTTTCCTCTGGTCGGGTCTAGTTTTCCCTGTGGTCGGACATTTGTTTTCCCTGGTCGGGCCTAGTTTTTTCTGGTCGGGTCTAGTTTTCCCATGGTCGGGCCTAGTTTTTCCCCTGGCCGGGTCTAGTTTCCACTGTGGTCGAGCCTACTTTTGCTTGGTCGGACCTAGTTTTCCTCTGGTCGGGTCTAGTTTTCCCCTGGTCGGGCCTAGTTTTCCCCTGGTCGTGTATATTGTTCCCCTGGTCGGGTCTAGTTTTTCCCTGGTCGGACCCAGTTTTCCTTTGGTCGGGCCTAGTTTTCCCCTGGTCGGGTCTAGTGGTTTCCCCTGGTCGGGCCTAGTTTTCCCTGTGGTCGGGCCTAGTTTTTCCCTGGTCGGATTTAATTGTCCTCTGCTCGGGTCTAGTTTTTCCCTGGTCGGGTCTAGGCTTTCCCCTGGTAGGGTCTAGTTTTCCCTGGTCGGGTCTAGTTTTTCCCTGGTCGGATCTAGTTTTCCTCTGGTGGGTCTAGTTTTTCCCTGGTCGGGTCTAGTCATTCCCCTGGTCGGGACAAGTTTTCCCTGTGGTCGGGTCTGGTTTTTCCCTGGTCGGACCTACTTTTCCTTTGCTCGGGCATAATCTTTCCCTGGTCGGACCTAGTTTTCCCCTGGTCGGGTCTAATTTCCCCTTGGTCGGGCCTAGTTTTTCCCCTGGTCGGGCCTAGTTTTCCTCTGGTCGGGCCTAGTTGTCCCTGTGGAGGGGCCTAGTTGTTCCCTGGTCGGGCCTAGTTTTCCTCTGGTCGGGTATAGTTTTCCCCTGGTCGGGTCTAGTTTTCTCTGATCGGGCGTCGTTTTCCCTGTGGTCGGGCCTAGTGTTTCCCTGGTCGGACCTAGTTTTCCTCTGCTCGGGCCTAGTTTTTCCCTGGTCGGACCTAGTTTTCCTCTGGTCGGGTATATTTTTCCTCTGGTCGGGTCTGGTTTTTCCCTGGTCGGACTTAGTTTTCCTTTAGTCGGGTCTAGTTTTTCCTCTGGTCGGGTGTAGTTTTCCCCTGATCGGGTCAAGTTGTTCCCCTGGTCGAGCCTAGTTTTCCCCGTGGTCGGGCCTAGTTGTTCCCTGGTCGGACCTAGTTTTCCCCTGGTCGGGTCTAGTTTTCCCCGTGGTCGGGCCTAGTTTTTCCCTGGTCGGACCTAGTTTTCATCTGGTCGGGTCTAGTTTTTCCATGGTTGGATTTAGGTTTCCTCTGGTCGGGTCTAGTTTTCCTCTGGTCGGGTCTAGTTTCCCCCTGGTGGGGTTCAGTTTCCCCCCTGGTCGGATGTAATTTTCCCTGTGGTCGGGCCTACTTTTTCCTTGTTGGGATCTAGCTTCCTCTGGGTGTAGTTTTCCCCTGGCCGGACCTAGTTTTCCTCTGGTCGGGCCTATTTTGCCCCTGGTCGGGTCTAGTTTTTCCCTGGTCGGACCTAGTTTTCCCCTGGTCGGGTCTAGTTTCCCCCTGGTCGGGTGTAGTTTTCCCCTTGGTCGGGTCTAGTTTTCCCCGTGGTCGGGCCTAATTTGTCCCTGGTCGGACCTAGTTTTCCTCTGGTCGGGCCTAGTTTTCCCCTGGTCGGGTCTAGTTTTTCCCGTGGTCGGGTCTAGTTTCCCCTGTGGTCGAGCCTAGTTTTTCCCTGATTGGTCTAGTTTCCCCCTGCGCGGGTCTAATTTTTCCCTCGTCGGATCTAGTTTTCCGCTGGTCGGGCTAATTTTTCCTGTGGTCGGGTCTAATGTTCCCTGGTCGGATTTAGTTTTCCTCTGGTCGGGTCTAGTTTTCCCCTGGTCGTGCCTAGTTTTCCTGTGTATGGGCCTAGTTGTTCCACTGGTCGGGTTTAGTTTTCCCTGTGGTCGGGCTTAGTTTTTCCCTGGTCGGACCTAGTTTTCCTCTGCACGGGCCTAGTTTTTCCGTGGTCGGACCTATTTTTCCTGTGGTCGGCCTAGTTTTTCCCCGGTCGGACCTAGCTTTCCTCCGGTCGGGCCTAGTTTTTTCCCTGGTCGGATGTAGTTTTCCCCTGGTCGGGTCCAGTTGTCCCCCTGGTCGGGATTAGGTTTCCCTGTGGTCGGGCCTAGTTTTTCCCCTGGTCAGACTTAGTTACCCTCTGCGCGGGCCTAATGGTTCCCTGGTCGGACATAGTTTTCCGCTGGTCGGGTCTATTTTTCCTGTGGTCGGGTCTAGTTTTTCCCCGGTCGGACTTAGTTTTCTTCTGGTCGGGTCTAGTTTTCCTCTGGTCGGGTCAATTTGTTTTCCCCTGGTCGGGTCTCTTTTTTCTGTGGTCGGGCCTAGTGTTTCCCTGGTCGGACCTAGTTTTCCTCTGCGCGGGCCTAGTTTTTCCTTGGTCGGATCTAGTTTTCCGATGGTCGGGTATATTTTTCCTGTGATCGGGTTTAGTTTTTCAACGGTCGGACCTAGTTTCCCCCTGGTCGGGTCTAGTTTTCCCCTGGTCGGGTGTAGTTTTCCCCTGATCGGGTCAGGTTGTTCCCCTGGTCGGGCCTACTTTTCCCCGTGGTCGGGCCTAGTTGTTCCCTGGTCGGACCTAGTTTTCCCCTGGTCGGGTCTAGTTTTTCCCCTGGTCGGGCATAGGTTTTCCCTTGGTCGGGCCTAGTTGTCCCTGTGGTGGGGCCTAGTTGTTCCCTGGTCGGACGTAGTTTTCCTCTGATCGGGTCTAGTTTTCCCCTGGTCGGGTCTAGTTTTTTTCCCCTCTGGTCGGGTCTAGTTTTCCCTGTGGTCGGGTCTAGTTGTTTCCCTGGTCGGACATAGTTTTCCTCTGCGCGGGTCTAAATTTTCCATGGAGGGACCTCGTTTTCCGCTGGTCGGCTCTATTTTTCCGGAGGTAGGGTTTAGTTTTTCCCTGGTCGGGTCTAGT